TACTTGATATCCCTAGTTCTTTACTAACACTAGAGCAGCGGTTCCCCATACCACCAGTGGTAATGCAGACAACCTGCAAGTGGTACACAGAAGGCCAGGGGGAGGGGCTGCAGAGAGCCTAGCCACAGCCTGCTGCATACAGCCAGGAACAGCATCACGTGTGAAGCAGCACCCAGCAGGTAAGTGTTGTGGTTGGCTGCATGCATGTGCATGTCCGTCTCGCACTCCCAAGCTACAGCCCCCCCTCCCCCCAACCCTGCTGCTGCCCCTCACTCCTGACCCACACAGTACCCCACATTTTGCCAGGACATGTGGGGATCCCCCCACCCCAGGCTCCAAACTCTACACACATATCCACAGCCGCACCTCCCGCCCCATAAAGTACCTGCATAATTATGAATTTTTCTGTGCACTACTTTGAGTTTAGCTGTGTGATTAAAATCACAATTCATTGAGACTAATTTTTTTTTCAATCGCACAACTAATCGCAATCACATTTTTAAATTTTAACTGCTTTATATGGCTACCGTAACTAATAAATCAATGTATTATGATTACTATAGGTTTTGATGTTGTTTTAATACACAGTCTGTTACCTATGCGTATCTAAAATTTGCTGATGGTACTTAAGACTATTGTTTTAAATTGGTGGTATGCAATCTGTCAGTTTGGGAACCACTGTGCTAGAGAGAAGCTACTACAGATCCCCACCGCTCCCAGGTTAATTCTGGATATCCCCTTCTTGGGAACTTTCCTTTTAAAAGAGCAGTTGAACTGAGAAAAACAAATACTGTTCACAAAAAATGTACCTTGTTTACTTCCCATTCAAACATCATGAGTCACATCATCACAAGCAAATATGTTTTTAAAAGTGAGTCTTTAAAAGTTACTATGCTAAGTAGAGGTGCACCAATAAAGATTTTCTTGGCCGATACCAATAGCTGATTATTAACCAGCTATATCAGCCAATACCAATCCAATGATACCAATCCAATAACCAACTGATTTACAGGAATGCAGCCAGGCAGCATGGAGAGCAGCTCCCTCCTGGTAAGTCTGTGGAAGGGAAGAGGCATGGGGGAAGGAAGAAAGGTGGGGGTAGATTAAAGTCCCCACAGTGAGGGAGGGAGTGGGGCAGTGGCTGGGGGCACTGTCCAGCCAAGGCAGTGAATGGGACCTAGGGCCAGGGCATGAAGCTGGACAGAGCAGCGAGTGGCTCGTTCAGGAGATAAGCATCCTGGCACTTAAAAATGGCGGTGAGGGCGACTGAACTAAAGCTTGTTGAACAAGCTTTAGTTCAAGCACCACTGCCACCATTTTAAAAGTGTAGGGACACTTAACTGGACCAGAGCCAAGCAGGCTGCCCACTGTGGGCTTGGGGCTCTCCATTCTGCTGTCTTTGCCCCAGGAGCCCCATGCCAGCCATGCATCCCCTGCCTGCCCAGCAGCGGGAGGCACAACTCGCCACCCCCACTGCTGCCAGGTGGGCATAGGGTGTGCACCAGGCATGGGGCTCCCAGGACAAAAGGCAGCAAGGTGAACCCTAAGCCTACAATGAGCAGCCCTCACTGATCCCATGCACATATCTGGAGGGGGCACATGCCCCCCCTTCCCCCAAGGGCTGTGGCCAGAAGGCATAATTAATTTATATTCATCAGTGAACATTATTGGCTACACCAGCCAAAAAAAAGCCAATTGCCAATAATGTTAAATTTTCCATTCATTGGTGCCAATCCGATATATCGGTACATCTCTAAAGCTAGACCAATTATACAATGAATGCTGTAGCCTGACCAGTGACTTTGTCATGCGACTGCCAAGTAGAATAACCCATAGAATGAGGCAAGGATGCATCACTGCAACCACTTTGTCAGATGCACCACACAAAATAATACAAGCTCATAACAGAAGTAAGAATATCAAGTTTTTTCCATAGTATAGCTGTCTTATTACCTTGAAACTAAATAGATACTCATTCTGAAGCAGAATCACAACTGTGGGTAAAATTTTCAGAATAACCTGTGTGACTCAGAAGCCTTGATAACAAGTCAAATAGGGCCTAGAATCTATCATTTTTTCTTGTATACATAGGAGAATTTATAGAATTTTGAACAGCATGGGAACAGATTGACCTTCATGATTCTACCATTAAAACACACACTTTTTTAAAAAAGGGGGGAAAACTGTGTTTACTGGCTATTGAATGTCAAAGCCTTCAAAGTCAGTAATGTCTTTTAGTTGTGGCTCTTAAAGTACTTTCTTAACGGACCGTAAACACTTACGGTCCATTAAGTGTGGGCAGTATCGGGAGGAGCCCAGTGTGGGTGCAGGAAATTGTGAATTGTTACTGGTTAATCCTAATTAACTGCCTTGAAAAAAAATGAGCAAAATCATCTATTCTAGGGACTTCAAAATCTAGATATACAGTTAAAATACATTGGTGGTGGATCAGCTTTGTTAGCCAGAGGGGGGACCATCGCATGTTTACAATACTCAGTCAACTTCCCTATGGAGAAAGTTTACTGGAGCATCTTCTCCTCCCCTCCAGATAAAGGAAGCCTGTGACAAAAGACAGATTTTCCAGATGCCTGAAGACATTTTTAAGCAAATATTTTCCAACATCACAGGACTAGTTACTAGAGGTCCACTGATATATGTTGGATCGGCACTGATAACAGGAAAATTAACATTATGAGAAATAGGCATTTTTTTGGCAAATAAGGTCACTGAGAAATGCCACGTGCATGCACACAGCTGAAGCATGCACGTGGCAGGAATGCAGCCAGGCAGCTTGGAGAGCAGCATCCAGCTGATACAACTGTGGGGGAATCAAGGCCCCCTCTGTGAGGGAGGGAGTGGAGCAAGGCAGGTGCTGGCAGCACCAGGTTCTTCCCAGCAGGGTGGGGCTGGGTGGGTGGCGGTGACAGCAGCACTAGGAAGGGTGGCTATAAATTAGCACCCCAAATCCCCCCCAGCACCACCACTGCTCAGGGCACTCCACCCTGCGTTGGCTGTATATCCCCTGCCTGCCCCACAGCAGAAGGCTCCTGAGGGAAAGGCAGCAGAGTGGAATGGGGTACCCTGAGCAGGAGTGGCACTGAGTGAAGGTCTTGTGGGGGGCTACAGCTACCCCAGAATTCCCCACAGACCCCTGTAGCCACCCCTCCCAGTGGCGCTGCCACCCATCCCATGCATCTTGGCCCACCCTGAGCACAGCCTTGGCCCACATACAGATCCAGGGGATACATGCTCCCCATTCCTCCACTGGGGGCTAAGAGGCTGGCACTGCCCCTGGCCCTGAGCCTGCAGCAGGCAGCCCAGCCTTGCCCCACATACAGATCCAGGGGATACATGCTCCCCATGCCTCCACTGGGGGTGCATGCAGCAGCAGGGAGCCACCCACACCCCACACTCCCTGGACAAGGCACCCACAGCTCCATCCCACTCCTGACATCGCGATGACTGCCCTGGCTGGGCAGCACCTGAGCCTGCCCCACTCCCTCCCTCACTGTAGGGGCCTTGATCTGCCCCTCCACCCTTCTCCACACCACAGACTTACCAGCAGAAGGCTGGTCTCCAAGCTGCCAGGCTGCATTCCTGTAAATTGGCTTTCAGACCCGTATCGGCCAATATGGCTAGCTAATAAGTCAGCTCTCAGTATCAGCCAATAAAATCTTTAAGTCGGTGCACCCCTACTGGTTACTATTTCAGTTTCTGTACGAAGTTAAACATGCTAGTTTACCCTTTGTCAAGCTCAAGAGCAACATATGCTCTCTTTTCTTCAGAAGTATTTAGACCTGCCCAAAGATCTGTTTCCTTTCACTCTCTGCTCTAAGGCCTGACACTGTTAGGGGTCTGTACAGATGCAAAAATACACCTATTTTTTAAGTGCAGTACTACAGCTTGAATAACCTCTCTTAGTTTTTATAATTCTGGAAAACTGACTTTAATTTTTCTAAGCACAAAACCAAAATTAAACCCTTTTCTGCTACAAGGCTTTGTCAGCTTTCTATTAATAAGTACAGCAGGGGTTGGAAACCTTTATGAGCAGTTGACTAAATTAGTTCAGTTCACTCTGAAGGCAGGCCACTGCATACAACCTACCCACTGCACCTCCGACCTGGACACTGCTTCCTTTACTGTCAATATGCTGCTGACCTAGATACTGCTTGCCCCACCACTTACTTGCCACTGATGTCCTGGGCTGTGGACCAAATCCCGCCCACAAGCTGTACAGGTTGCCAACCCCTGCCTTAGTGTTAAGAAACGTTTCTTAGACCCACCATTTTAGACTCCTATATTTGTAGCTTCATCTACTACTCCCATCATTGAAAAAGAAATAAGAAAATAGAGAAGCCAGTTAAGCAAAGGAATCATTTTGCCATTTTTCTTCACACCAAATCTCTTCCTGATCGATCTAGTTTAACAGAATTTCAGATAATTACGCTTTGAAAAAGTTCATTATTTAAAAGGATTAAAATGAATTCAAGTACAGTGCAACCTTGATGATTTGAGACTCATTTATCTAAAGCTCCCTCTTATGTGAAACAGGGTTATGTCCCCTGATATCTATGAATTAAAATGAAAAAAATTACTTGATTATCTGAAACCTAAGGTATCCAAATTTTATCAATGCCTCCCATCTTGTTTACATTAGTTATACCATACATTATATGAAAAAATAAAGATAAACAAAATAACTTAAATGTCTTTAATACCTTCATCATCAATCCACTTGAGGGTAATTGGCTGTTCCTGCTGTAAACTACACATCTCCCTCACTTCATCACAGAGTTCACTGTAGTTCATTGATGCATCCAAATTTGTTATTAGGATGTCCCTGGAAAAAGATGAAGTAGCATATTAAAATTACAAAATGTGGCATCTCATTAAGTCATAGGGTACCACTTCTTCCAATACCTGCATTTATGGACCTTAACTTGCAAAAACCACCTTCAAACAAGCAGCATTTATTCATAAAAAGCAATCCTATTTGCTTTTACGGCACGCTTCCATTTGCCTTTATGAATAAAAATGAAGTCAATTGCTTACTTAAAGCAATGGGCTTACTTGAGCAAGTGTCAGTTCCAGGGAAGAAAAAAAAAGAGTTAGATACTTAATTAGGTATCTCTTTTCATCTCACAGTATTTTAACAATATTTTATTTTACATCAATGATCTTACATTTTCAATATTTTTTACTGAATGCATTCAGTTCATTAAAAAACAACAACTGTCAGCATTCAAAGAGACATGATATTTTACAACTACTAAAAGTAGTCATTAGGGCTGTGTGAAGCTTTGGGTGGTGATCTGATCTGGTGGAGATCTGCCTCGATTCAGTGGCTGAATTTCTGAATCCGAATCGAAATCAGGGGACCAATTAAAAGGTCTAAATCAATTCAAAGCTCTCCAAATCTTCAGAAAAGATTCAGAGAGCTTTGATGATTCGGGCAGTCACCAGTGGCTGCAGCAGGGAGTTGCAGCCTGGCTCAGAGCTGGTCAGCTGCCCCACCCACCGCAGCTCCAGCCCTTTAAAGAAAAAAACCCAAGAAAAGCCCCGAGACTTACTGCTCCTGCAGTGGCGCCGGGAGGGCACGTGCAGAAACCCCCACGTGGTGCAGGGCAGTGGAGATCACCCACCACCAGCAGGAACGAGTCCAGGGTTTTCGCAGTTTTTTTTTCTTAAAGAGTTGGAGCCATGGTGGGCGGGGCAGCAGGGATCATACCCCCACACTCGGCATCACCCACTCAGTCAGGGCTTTTTCAAAATTATTTATTTAAGTGCCGGGAGCTGGGGCAGGCGGGGCAGCCATTGCCAGGCTGGTGGAGATGGGCCTGGCTGATTCATTTGATTACTGATTTTGATCAACAAAGCCAAGACAAAAACAAAAAGGTCTGTATAAAGCAACGGTTTATCTATTCTTGGTGCTAAACACAGTATAATGAGCGTTTCAGTGTCTGCGTTGGATTTGGCAGCCGCCTAATCTCCGAATAGATTCAGCTGAATCTGATTCAGGACAGCTATTCAAAAAAACCCCACCCACATTAAATCACTGTCCCCCGAATCATCCGAATCCAAAGTGAATACGAGCTGCTTCGCGCAGGCCTAGTAACTATAGGGAATTCTTCTTTAGGGAGAGGGAATAAAGACTGAAGCATATCAGAATTTATTCAGGAGTTTTTTCCAACATCTCACAACCCCCACACAATTAAAGAAATTATATGGATAATTTATTAGGGATTATTTCTCAGAAATTTCAATTATATATACGACCTTATTCTGATTCTGCATTTTCTGTACAATAATTTAAATTTTTAAACATAAAAATCAGTGGAAGTCATCATTTCTTCTACAATTAAAACAACATCACATCTCACAAGGCTCTTATTTGTCAAAATACTACAAACTGTTCTGTGCAGCCATTTGAGGATTTGAAATAAATTGTGAGAGTTTTATAAAAATGTTAAAAATTACTTCGAGGGAAAAAAATTACATGAAAATAAGCACAGCAAAGGGGGGAAAAAAGATGAGAGAAGGACTTTGAGAAGAGTGTTTCCCAGACCCTCTAGTGGATAATTATAAAACTGCATTTCTCAATTACATCCCGACTACAGAAGTAATTATTCACATACTATACTGAAGTCAACAAGAAAAGTAAGAACAAAAAGAAACTCAAGATAGTTCAATTAAATTAGGTTTTCTATTTTCACTGTACATAAATTACTTTAGGAAAACATAAGCTGTCTAACCTATTTCATACATTTATTATTTCCACTTGGAAATCAAAATATTACAACAAGCACAAGTTTTTCATCATAACTGTTTAGTCAAAGGGTTAAAATTCTGGAGACCATATCAAGAAAAGTACACATGTACCAATACACATTGTTGTAGAATTTATTTTTTTATATTTCTGCACAAAGAAAATTTTAAACAGATATTAAAATAAAAGATCTGAGATTTTAATCTGCATACAGAACTGATGCACTGTCTTAAAAATGTGGGCTATATAATCTTTCAACATGGAAATTCTTTTGCTTTTGTATCATATATACAGCTCCTTCTAGACAGAAGCACAATACTAGTGGTTAATTTTGCACAAATATTTTCCTTGCTGCCTTTCACAATAAATCATTCAGAAGAACACTAACTGTTTATAACAAGCAGTGACCTGTAAAAAGAGGAAAATAGATATTGTTAAAAACCTTGGCTTGCTCTGAGTGAGGTCATGTGA